TAAGATTAAAACACATAATTGTAAACTTAGCGTGTATTACTTTGGTATTTTATACTATATGTGAAATAAAGATCAATTTAACTATTGATCATCATTTATAGCCATTTTGTGATATTTTATATTGTTTTATTTTATTTATTTATTTATTTTGTATTCTGAAATTTTTAGTTCAAATTTTGATCAACATTTAATCAGTCTGTTTTTCGTACTGTAAAAGATCTTGAAAGTACATTTGTAATGGGTTGTAAAAACTGAAATTGTGATAATTTTTTGTAATATTTCAACGATAAAAACATATATAGGGTATTCAATTGCGTTGCAAAAGTGTAAACTTTGTAAGTTTGCCAGACGAGAATTGTGAACGCCCTCTATTTTAAAATATCGTTGCAGGAAATTGACGTACAAAATAACGCCAACTTTTAAATTTTTGTGAAAAGAAGGCTATGATATTTTCTGTCATTAAAACCCAACTTTTCAGTATATATTTAGTATTTTAGATAAAATTCTTACCCATTATTAACCCCCTATTTCTACACAAGTACAACAGATTTGTATACATAGGCTGGGGTGTTGTAGGCCTTGAAAACTATTTTGTATGGAAATTGTTGTTGGAACTGCTTACACTTTTACACTTTTCAAACGATTGCAACGCAATTGAATACCCTAATAGATTTGCCAGTTTTTCCAGTGTAAATGGGGATGTATTTCAAGTGCGGAAACGGGAAGAGAGATACGCAGATATGGAGCGGGCGGTGCAGGGAAGAGAGAGGGCGATTGCACCGGGCTGTGTCAGATTCAGGTTTTGGTTTTGGCGCAAAAAATTTGTGCTCAAAATTACCAGCAGCAGGTATTCGCACTCGTATTCGTATTCGTATCCGTGAGGCTCCGATGATGAGGGCAGCCGCATCCACATAGCCACATCCACATCCATATAGCAACATCAACGGCAGCAGCCGCAGAAATTGGCGCAAAATTTACAGATGCCTCAAAAAATATAAAAACGCAAAATGGAAAGCAACTGCAGCGGGACAGGTTGTGAATGTATGAGTGCGGCGCCGATTTTGTGAGGCATTTCAAAGGCAGCAAAACCCCATTTCCTCACCACTTTCCATTTAAATCCCTACAGCACATATGTACAAATATTTACAAACCCCTGAAAACGCATTTGCGCTTTAAAAATAGCTGACAATCGTTGACTCTACAGGGGGAAAAAGATACCGCTTTATAACAACTCATCCAATATTGCGCTCTTATGTATTTTATTTATTATTTCCATTTTTCCCCTTCTTTTTTTGTTATACAGATTTAGTTACTTAAGATATCAACACTCATTAATAATAAATAAACATATTTTTTCTGTTTAAAGATGGAAAATCACTGAAATGCAGTCTTTCAGGTAATTAGAGACACCTTGTAAACAATATATTATGATCTCAAGATTGTATTTCTTTTCAAAACTCCCCCTCTTATTTACTTAATTATGAGTCACCAATCATGACGCACTGATTTCAGCATAATTGACACATTCAAATTCTTCTTTTGTATTCCTTTAAGATTAAGTGGGATAAAAAAGAATAAATAAATTTGCAGGTAAATAACGAAATTATAAAAATGTTTATATTTTAAGGAATTTTAGGATTTACAATGAAGTTACCGTCAATATATAATTATTATTCCCCTTTTAGGCACCTTTAAATCATTTTCCAGATATTTTTAAACAATTGTAAACAATCAATTATCTGTTTTAAGAGTTATATTAAATGTTTCTTCTAGGTCTTAAAGTTTCTGAACATGTGAAAAATTTCATCGACTGAGAAGTATCTGGTGGATACATTTCAGCCAAGCATATCTGTATCTGCTGTTGCCACGCGCAACCCGGCAGAAATCCACATTGCACATTGCACACAACAACAAATTCAAAAAAAGAAAAACAGCTGACGGGAGGAGGAGAATGGAGAAAGGAGAAATGAGGGGTCTCTTTAATGAGCTCATTTATTAATTAGGCGAACGTGACGTCAGCCCAGACGAAAGACCTCTCCGGGCATTGTATCTCGTACTCCCTCCAGTAATTCGGCACTAAAACAGCAGTTAACCTCATGGACAGCAGCGCGTGCGACAGTTCCATTGATCGGTTCCGTTTCTTTTATTTTTCATTATTTTCATTGCACTCCGACCTCTGGGTTACATGGTACGTGGGCCATAAACTAATTTCTGCCAGCCCGGAAAAACAGCTTGAGTTTTCCGCAGACAAGCTGCGTTCGGCGGAAGTGACGGCGGAAAAGTAGCCCATCAGTAGACCCAGACACGTACCCAGAAAACATCTAAAAGATAAAAATATACACGCACAGCACACACTCCCTGACATGCATTCAAATAATGCCCAGGGAAAAATCAGCGCAGCTATATACGACGAAATCAAAATAACTAAAGCTGAAACGCATTTCGGTGGAAATGACGCAGCAAATGGGTCTTGGAAAAGTGGTGTTGGCAGAGGGAGATTTGGGAAAGAAACGAAAAAGAGGGGACTTTCACACATTTCCAACTGCATTGTTCCCCCTTCAAGTGCCTGGTTTTTATATAGATTTTTTGGCGCGAGGGTTGGTTTTTGCATAGAGCTCTATACGCGCTTTACTGTGGCACCACTCCGACCTGTCCTGTGCCACAGATCCTCCACCCGAACCCATCTGAACCTCAGTCGCAACCCTCAACCCCTGTTCACCTCTCAAGCAGGTAGTTGCCAATCCGAATTTGGACATCGCGCCAAAAAAACAGAAGAAAGGGAAACCATCAACTGTAAACAGTGAACGCTGGTGAATAGGAATTCTTAGATTTGAAAATTCAAAAAAATATATATCAAAGTACCTTGAAAATATAAGCAAAATATTAAGAACGTATGGATATTTGAAAGGTAATTTTGGTCGACACATATACCCCTATGTAGATTCAGTTCAGTTCTTTAAACGTGTAAACAAACTTATAAAAACCTTAAACATTTAAAGGGTAGAGTACATGTCCCAACATGTTCGTACTATTTTAAATCTTCCGATATTTTGAAAATGTACTAACTTTGAAAAATTTTATTGGATATTAAAAATACAATCAAGTTTTAATGTATAATCATTAGGGTATACCCTAATATATATATATCATGATATCATGATAAAGGATATGTATATCATGATATCATGATAAGGATATGAAAATAGATATGTATATCATGATATCATGATAAGGATATATATATCATGATATCATGATAAAGGATATATATCTCATGATGTCATGATATCGTGATATATGAATTATAGGAATACTTCTCTATTAGGACCCCTATGCTTATAAAAAATGGGTATAGGTTTTTGAAATTTCGAAATGAGACGAAAAGGTATATATATTAAGGTCATATATTATTCTTCGCAAAAATATAAATCTTTACCGACTGCTTTCCCTTATTCCTTCTGCGAGGTACCACTGTACAACAATAAATCGCAATCCTTTGGGCGCGGCCTTTGTCCGGGCCACTCTTTAAAATGACTAATCGGTATGGCGGTCAAAGAGCCAGACGAAATGGGCCTCAAGACCTGACTCCTCCGACCCAGGGGCTAAGTAATACCAGCTGCTCTGATCAGGCAGTCCAAAAACCCACTCTGCTGCCTTTCGATCGGTTCCCGGTTCTGGGCTGACTCAGCATTATTGAAATTGAAATGACTTGTGGCCCACATAGATACGAGTGCTGCCCAACTCCTACCTCTATTTCTATGCGGTTTTTCAACTCTTTTCACTTTCATTTGTTCGAGCTACGCTTGAATTGCCGCCGCGAACGGGAAAGTGTTTTTTTTTTTAATTTTAATTTTGCATATTTTGCCTCTCTATTATACAGATTGTTCCCCTGAATTCTTTTTTCTGTCGCAAGTAAATTGTTCTAGGCACGTCTGGCCAATTAGGCCGTTTAATGCCGCATGAAGCCCCCAGTTTTGACCTTGAGTTAGGGCCCAAAAAGCGCTAACACATCCAGTTAGTTAGCGTTTAGCTTGGTATATGTATATATTTGTGTGAGCCAAACAATAATAAGCCCGGAGTCTAGCATAACTAATTGTATTTACACGGCCCATAATTGGCACACAAAAACCAGATTCACTTTCCGTAATTGTTACATGTAAATAATCAATATCGTAGGTCCAAGTAGTGTTTACCATAGAAGGGGAAATACATTATTCTGGGTTGTAGAGCTAGAGATCTCTTTGGTACAGGTACTCTTTTGTAATTAGTATGCTCTCTTAGGGTAAAGTAGAAATTCAGAAGGTGAATCTTGGCTGGAACTACTCTTTAGTGATTTTTAAACAGATCCTATGATGTCATAGTGATATTCGCGTACTTAATAAACTACTTTAAATTCATCATATCACATTGTTTTGATGCAATTCAGTTTTATGACTAAGATTGCTTGCAAAATTAAAAAACATAAATGAAATCCAAAAATAGTGATGATGATACAATGCTAAAATATTTTAATTTTTATTTTAAAATATTTTAGCATTGTATCATCATCATCATCACTTAAAATTGAAAATATTGGAATAGGAGTCATTTAGTTCGTATTGAATACCTTTTTTTTTCTTTCGTAACCCCACATGGAAATACAGATCCAATCGTTTATTTCACTGTATCTCAGTTTCCTAATAAATTTTGCCTCCTTAAACAGAAAATCACATGTTTTTAGCATTATAAATTAGGCTAGTCTTTTTGTTTCAAATATTAGGGAAGTAAATGCAATCTATGACGTCACCATATTGGCTCTCCTTTTCGTTACGTGCGTCACCTTCAACTCTCTACGCGCATGCTGTTAAAAGCGAAAGAGAGCAGAGCCGTAGAGAAACCACTGTAGCGCGACTGTAAACAGCTCGTTTTGAGCAAATGAGAATGTTAGGACCCATGTTAACTAACAGCCTGTTAAAGCAATGTACATTTGAATTTCCCTGTCTGCTGATTCCGCTTTGGGCATTTCATTCGTATTTCGTATTTCGCTTCGAACGGTCGTATCTCCTACAATTTGTATCTACACTCTTTTCGCTCGCGTGAAAGTCGTAAAGTTCAGCCCGCTCTCCGCCTTTACAGAAAATACAACAAAAAAAAGTGCACAAAAAGTTTGCCAGCGGTAGAAAACCAATTGAAACTGCAATTGCAATGCCTAAAATGCGTACGTGAATTTCGCGCAGTGTCTCTGTGAAAGTTCAAGTGAAAGCAGAAAGCAGAAACAAAGCGAGAATACTTGCAAACAAACCAAAAAGAAAGAAAAGAAGTACATAAGTTTAAAAAAGAAAAAAGAAAAGCACAACCATGGCAATTTTATGTCCGCCGATGAGTTTGACCCTTCAACGCGCCCCTCCAGCGCCACGCCCACCGCCCAGCCCCCTGGAAACAAAACGAATCCGTCGAAATCTATTCGATACCGTGCCCGGCGACTCGAATATCGATCAGCTGTTGGCCCAGGAGCAGTGCTCGAAGAGATTGTACGTCAAGGAGCGATATGGAGTCGATATCCTGCTGGAGGACCGACGGGAACTGGATGCGGATGTGGAAGCCCATGCACCCAGGGGAATGCGATACCCTACGATGCGAACGTTACCCAGTACCGATGCTGATGAGTACAATCCGAAGTCCATCAGTCAAGTGCCCAGGGGCGTGGCCCTAACCGCCCCCCAGATCTCCGCCAGCGCCAAGCTGATCCTCCAAAAATGCACACAGAATAGCAACAGCAACAGCAACAAAAGCGACACCAGCAGTGCGGACCTGGCCAACAGCACGAGACATGGCCAAAAGCCATATGCGGCGCAGCCACAAGGCCTTAAAGGTACGTTTTTTCCCATGATTTGGTTGGTATATTTTCCCATGGAACACCTTTAAGACCTGCACTAAAGTATCTGAGAGATACATTACTTTTATGTACAAAGTTCGAATAAGGAATACTCTTTAGCTGGGTTAGGTTTTAGTTGGTATTCTTTTCCATAAAGGCTAGACTTGTAGGTCCAAATAGTTAAAAGAGGAGGCTTTCTGTTCGAAATATTATATATTTATTACATCTCTCACAATAGTACTTTTCTAAACTATAACTTTTTGCCTAGATTAAAAGAAATTTTGTGATACTATCTTTGACTTATCTTTAAGACAGTCTACAATTTATAAATACGTAGTTTAAAATAGTAGTACACTTTTTCTACGCATTATTTTTTAGAGACATTAGAGGTCGGAAATAATACAGAATATAGAAGATTCGTTAACTCCATTTGAGGGTTCTTTCGTAAGTGTCCAATAAGCAGGCACCTGATTTTCGTCTCTTTTTCCGTTATTCCTTCCTCTTTCAGTCCTTGTTTTGTGCTCGTCCTTTACCCCAAATGAACTTCACCCCTATGAAATTCTTTCCGTTGGTCGAAAGAAAACCACCCTGGTGTTCAGATTTTCCTAATATTTCCCTTTATACGTTGATTCTTATTGTCACTTCCCTTGTCCTCTTTGCCCTATTCCTTTTTGTGTAGTTTTTCGATTCTATTTTGGGTTCGTTCAGGTGCGTATCCTATAGGTTTTCATTCTAGGTGAAGGAAAAAGATTATAACTATCTAAAAGTATAGTAAAATACATGGGAAACCACTACAATATTAGGAATAGAACCATAGTTCTACTATAACTTTTTGTACACCATTTATTATATCTGGAAAAGAAACTTTGCTAGTTTTTGGCAATAACTTCAAAGTATCCTTTATAATCTGAGGGTTCTAATCACCCAGGCAGTATGGTTTTCACTATTTGGCTCTTGTTTGATTACTTAACTGCACCAAGGGCCCGGATCAATATTTGCAACAACTGTGCACACATAGTGCACTCTGTTATATGACGATGGAGTGGCTTTAGTGCCGTTAATGCCCCTTTTTTTATCGGTTTATTTGGCAGGGCTCCCACATCGCCCCACGCCGCCACTTTCATATTCATTTCACGTTTAATTTTTCGTACGAACTCGGAATCTTTTCTCTGCATCAAAAGCTTGTTTTTCGGTTTTTGTTTTGATAGAAGTTTGTTATTTTGCGCCGTTTCATTTTGCCATGCTGTTTCCTAACCACTTTACAATACAAAAACGATTCGAACTTTATTCACACTTCGCTTTCATCGTGGAGCCCCCGACTTCTTTATCAATTCCGCATGTCAAGGGCCCCGATTTGTGTATTGACTCTTTCAGAGAAACTCGCTATTAATGATTTGGCGCTGCTACAGTTGAACTTGTATAGGTTGAATTCAAAAGTGTATATTTCAAAAAAATTATTGGTTCCGAAAAACTGATGTATTGGGTTATCTGGATGTTAATACATACATAAATATACCCAAACTAATATCTAAGAGGAGTACCTTAAAGATACATCAATCATTAAATAATTAAAACTACTTTAACAATTTCTTTTTAGAGAAAAACACTGAAATCTATGTTTAGCTTTCGAAATTTTGTAGTTTCAAAAAACACATTTTCTAAAGTTTGATGTACAGTAATTATATTCGAAATTGTATCACTTTATTTTCAAACAGTTTGAAAATTTGTTCAATAGTTTGCAAAATTTGAAAAGTAAACATCAGTTTATGGATGTAACTCTAAAATCTTTAATAAGTTTCGAAATTTCGGAGTTTTGAAAAACACATTTTCTTAAGTTTGATTATCATCATTATCATGTTCATTATATTCGAAATAGTTTCACTTTATTTTCTGACAGTTTGAGATCAAAATGGTTTAGTAGTTTGCCAAATTGGAATCGTATCAATTTATGGGTGCTCGACTGTACCTCTAATTTTTGACTTATTGTTATTTATGACTGCTTTACTTTGCGCTGATATTCCGCTGATATCGTGGCGAACGGAGAAAGAGAGAGGGAGAGCAGGGGAGAAAGAGAGAGCTTGTCGCCAGTTTGTCTTTGGTTTGGCAGTGTGTCAAAGCGAAAAAAGCTAAACAACAAACTGTACGCCAAAATAAAAACTGTTGAATAACAATCGCGCGCCAAAAATCTTTCTTTCGTTCGGTGGAAAGAGATTGCAGCTAAAAATGAAAATGAGAAGACAATTAATTGAGAGGCCTCAATTAAATTTAAATCAGCGCCAACGCCTTCTGGTTTTTAACGTTGCTGTTGTTTTTGTTGCTAGCTGCAGTTTTGCAAGGGGGAAAACAACAAACAAAAAAAAAAACAACAAAAAATCCACTACTTGGCACACGCCTGCGACTGTACATGGATTTCGTGCGGATGTATTAGTGGGCTCCCCACTTTTTGTTGTTGTAAAAGCCGCACCCACAACGACAAACGCAATCTCAACCAGAGGAGAGCAACAACAATCGCGTCACTCTTATACGACGACGTCAGCCCACTCGCACACAAAGCAACAAACATATGTACACTCAAAAGAGAGCCTGTTTGTGCTCCTTCTCTCTCTCGCTCTTGCTCTGGCTCTCTCTTTCTCTCTGTTTGTCTGCCTGCTGATGATGTTTTTTTGCGTTTTGGCGCGAATTTCTTATTTTCGTGTTTATTTTTAGTCGTCTTCGCTGATAAGCTTTCCGCATGTGTGTGTGATTATGCGTAGTAGTACTACGCACGCACGTTGTTGATGTTTTTCAAAACTCGTCGTGAAGGTCACCCACACTAGCAAGCGCAAATCGCGTAAGTACAGCAGCGCCAAATGTTGTGTTTTCTTGTGTTGTGCTGTGTACTTTTGTGGCAGGTCCGAAAAACGGGTCCAAAAGAGGAAAATAAAAACAAATCAATTAGACAAAAGTTCTGTTATCTCGCCCTCTCTTGCTCGCGCGCTTTTTTTTTTTTGCCATGCTTTGGTCCCCACTGTACTTTTACGTCACAATTGGCGCTCGTAAAGGAATATTTCCATGATACGATGATCAATTTAAAGATTTTAAAGGTTTTTTTTAAAAGATTTTTATGATTTTTGATTAGCTTTCTTATTACTATGAAAGTTTTAGAAAAAACTGAATTTTTAAAAGATTGTCAAGTAATAATATCATTTTGAAGAAAAGATTTTGACTTTTTTGGACGCTTTCCTACAAATTACTTTTCTGTTTTTCAAGACATCACTTTGTTGACGATATTACTAAGGGTCAGTAAGTTTAGATAACAGATTTTAAAACATTTTATACATAATAGTTTTTTTTTACATATTTCATATCTCCCAACTCCAAAACGATGTTTTCTATGCGCTCTATTTGGTTTTCGAGATTTTGTTTTGATTGGCCTTCCTGGCCACGCCCCAAAAAGCAAGTTATGTGTGTGATTTCCCCCTAAAATTTATGTTTTTTAATTATGCATGCAGAAACTCTCTCGTGGGCTCCCACATAAATATTTATAATGTGAATTCTTTGTTGCCGTTCCTGTTTTCATCGCCGCCTCTCTCTCCACACACATTTCGTAAACAAAACGCGTTGTGTTGTTGTGCAAGAAAGAGAGAGATGGGGGGGAGAGCTAGTTGGAGCTGCGTGCTCATAATGATAACGGTAAACGCACTGCCCCCACCACCCTTTCTCTTCCCCTTCCTCACCACCCGCTTCTTTCAATGGGCGATCGTTTTTGCCGTTTTCCCTCCCCCTTTGCTTCCTCCGCCTCCGTTTCGCTTGACGTTCTTTGTCGCTGGCTTATAATTTTCTATAACTGTACATTTGATTATATCGCCGACAACGCGTCTCTTTGGCTGCCAGCGATTTCCCTTCTCTTTCTTGGGGGCTTTCGAGCTTCAAGCACAAGTTTGTAACGCCCCTAAGAAAGGTCTCCCATTTGTAAACTTTTTCGATCCCTTTTTACACATATTTTTTGCTCGAGATCTTATAATTTTTGGGTGTAAGCCATAGGAAACCTTAAATATAAAGATCACTTGAAATAAATACCATATAATAATTTCAAGATCTTTTTTAAAAGTTTTTTGAAGAATTTTGGAATAAATAAATTTCGATTTATTCCAAAATTCTTAATTCTAGAGTTCATAAAACCGTATTAATAATAAAAAGGAATAAAAAAAGTTAGAACGTTGGAATGTTTTCCCCCACTATTAAAAAAAATACAGTCATATTGTTAAAACATCTTTGATGATTCAAATTCCAAGTGTGCTTAAGTATTCGGTTTTCTAAGCCAGCCTTGGGGCTTACTTGTTTTTGTATTCCCCGCCTTTGTTGGTGTTGTACAGCTTTTCAGCTTTTAGGTCACTGCGCAGTGTCTGCGGTTTGGTGAGCGTCTTTGTACGATCGTCTAAGCTCTAGCGGTTTACGTGATGAGGCAACCGCAGCTGCCAGCGAACGAGGCTTGATAGAAGTACAGTCGAACTACTATAACTCAAACTGGCATTTTTCTTCTAAAACTAGTTTTCATTTTATGTAGGTTATTAATTTAGATACCCAAGTCGAACACCTAAAAACGATCCGATTATAATTTCTGAGACCTTCAATAGAATTTAAATAATTTCAACATTTGATTTTAGAATCTTTTGTGAAATTTAGTAACACAAATCTTAACGGATTTAAAGCAAGTGAATTTCATGATCGGTTGAAAATATGGGGTTTCAGAGTTTTTAGAAATTTATTGTAAGTACTTGGAACGATCTTCATACAGTTTATTACAATTTTTTTTAAATTTTTGAAATGTTTTTCTACTGTTTGGATTTTGAAGCTTTAAAATTCTATGATAGAACGATCGGTACACTTGTTTATAAATGCATGTGAATCAGATCGACTGTACTTGTAGCGATCGCAAAATTGCGAATTAAAAATCAGCAATTTGCGAGGTTGATGAGCCATTTGACTATCAATGCGAACGCATTTGGCGAGAGGCGAATGTTCGCGTTTATAGATTACCCAAGTCTGGCCCCCTTGTACCCCTCCTCCAGGGTCTAGACCCCACCACAGCTGCAGTTTTTCGATTGCAGCTATCGCTGTGGCCATGACATTTATTATATCGGCCAGCCGATGACCAGGTATGGGTGGTTTACTCTCCAAAACAAATAGGTATACCTACTCTCCAGAGGGTGCTGGCTTGCACAAGTGTGCATAATTCCACCGCGATAAGAAAGCTAAGCTGCCCCTGGAAAATAAACACTCCCACTGACACGTATGCAATGGTATAGTAGTACCCCAAGTAATTAGTCTCGCTGCACTTCGCATTGCTTTCCCTTTTGCCTTCTGAAGGTCAAAAATGACGCTGGCACTTTTATTTTTGTTTTCCCCATTTCCATTTTGCATCGTGATTAGTCACAGTATTTTATTTTTACTATTTCAATACACCGAATACTCAAGTTATACCCCTTTTTCTTTATCTTTCCAGGCATTTACCGCGTTCGCAAGGCCAACAAGGGGATTTCGAATGTCAAGAATAGTTACACCAACAACATCAATAATAACAACAACAACAACAATAATGTGGATAATGGTACTAGCGAATTGGGGGATAAAGAGCAGTAACTTTGAAGGAGCAGGATATCGATGAGGATGGGCCCCTGGTGGAGCAACAATTGCAATATATGATATTTATTGTAAAAGTAATTTTAATTTCTAAAATAATTTGTTTATTTTTTTTGTGTACCCCCTGTATGGATTGTACGTTTGTTTTAAACCAAGACTTGACGGTCCCAAAATGTTGTATGTTGCATGAGGCAAAAAGAAAAAAAAAACAGCCAACCAGAAACAACATCAACTATATGAAAAAACCAGAAAAGATCGGCGCGCGTGCACGGCCAAAAACAGGCAAAAACTAATAATTATAATAATAATAATAATAAAAATATGTATATCCGGATGCATGGCGAATATCGATATAATTATGGAAATTATTAAGTTATAGATATGTGTATGTTAAATATTTATGTGTAAAAAGGAAATTATTTGTACATTGGCAATACGTAAATTGTAGCGAAAATGCGAAAGACTTCAAATTGTTGGCCGCAGAATGATCTGATTTACGGAGTAGATTAAATTGTAATTAGGCAATGCTAATTTTAGACAAGCGATCGGCGGCGCCATGCATCCATTATATAGACTCTTACCCCCAATCCAAACAAATTCAAGCGTTCTCAGCGTGTTTTCGGGTCCTGATGCACGCGTGTGCCAAAAGTATTTACAATTTACTTTGTGTCATGATCTCAATCATTAAAAACAATTTTATTATTTTGTTTATCTAAATGTAATTATAATTGAAATTATTTAAAAATTCTTCTTAGCCCACAAACAAACTCACACTCACTCACACCCCACCCACACCCACAAACACACACACACACACACTCTGTACTCATATTTATTGTATGTACATTATCGATGTGACATTTTAAATTGTATGTACTATCTATGTATAATATTTCGTATCTATTGCAAAATTATTTCCCCTCTTTAAAAAACCTACTTTGAACAACCAAACTGTGTATATTGTATGGAGTAGTTTGAAACTCCAAGCAGCTAAATGAGAAAAACCACAAAAACAACAACAAATACTGTGTATATTTCCTTAAAAACTTTTGTAAAACTTATGCAAACAAGCTGAAAAAAAAACCTTTTTTACTGTACCTCTCAAGCGAAAAGAGCAGCAGAAAAAAAAACAAAAACTAAAAAAAACTCTTAAAAATACAAATGTAAAACAAAAAAAACATTTAAAAGCTTTTTATTTGGTATTTGCCTACATTGGCTGGCTTGTTTGCGGGGGCCCTTTTGGGCCGAGATGGCGTGATTATTCTGAAGCGTAAAGAAAAGTCGGGGCCCACAAGTGGAGAAAGATAGAAATCTAAAATAGACGGAATGACTCAGCATTGGGCCCCGAGCTGCGGATGCAACAGTTTCTCCATTAGACAAGCTCCGCTGTAACGCTTCCCCGCACAGTAAACTCTCCGAAGTGATGGATTTCTACCCATTTGGGAAAGGGCCAAGTGGCGCCTATGTGTGTTTGAAATATTAATACCCTGAAAGACATAATGACTCAGCTAAATTTAAAGTAGATTTTCAATTTTTAAGGTAGTATTTTATTCCATATGAACTATATTGGAGATTTTTATAATATCTCATCATCATATTCTTAACTTTTAGAGATATTTTCCATAATTTTTTATTGGTTCGATATCTTGAGTAACTACTGTTGTAATTATGAACATTCGTTGCAGAGGTTTTGGTTATGCAATCAAAAAGTGAAGTGGAAAGGAAGTCCAACATTTTCCAATTAGTCTATTTTCTTCTGTTCGCTTTCATCGCTAATCACCCGTACCATTTTGAGAGGCCTCACTGTGGGCACTCGGGGGTCTTTCAATGGGCACACATATCGCCCGCGGGCATTTCGGAAAATGCTTTCTAGTCGTAATTTGTGTGCTATACGTTGCTATGTGTGTTATATCTATTTGACTAGTGGAGTGGAGTGGGCACTTAACATTAGATTGGCTGCGACTTCCGGCGAACAAACGATCGTTGGGCGTTTGATGATGATTGATGCTGGCCACGTCCTCATTTACCCCGCTTCCATCCTCCTAATCAAACGGATGCGAATTCCGAACTTACAAAAAAATATGTTTTTATTTTAGAAACTAAACCAAGGCTACTCAAAAGATTTCTACATAAGTAATCTTTCACGCGAATATTAAAAAGAGAATGGCTTTGCGATTACCATAACATCAAATTGTTACTTGAAACTATAACTATGATATACATCTAGGCGTTGACTCGCCTTAGATACTTACACACATACGATATGTATCTTTACCTCTATATGTATCTAGATATTAGACCTTATACTCGTTTTTCAGGCATTTGGCACTGCTCTCTTGAGCGAATCAAGAATGCAATATGCTATAATAATGGCACTGCTGGCAGAATGGCAAATTACATGCTCTGTATTTAGTAACGAGCATGTACAACATATTTGCCCACTTAACTAGCGGGTACGGTTATTAGCATGCAATTTTTTCAAGATTTTAATGGCTCTGCACTCGAATCGCAATCACACACACACGCATTCCCGTAACGCAACAGAGCTCAGATATACAATTCTGGATGAAATAATAGCACTCAAGGTGATATCAATAGAAGGCCAAGATCTCCGTTTGTATCTATCTGACAGACTTTCTGGGTGGGAAATATTATAATAGTTGTTAAATAGGCTCATAAATTTTATTATGTGCAATACAGCGAGCGCATCTTATCAAGATTCAGGAAAATGTTGCATATTTTGAAAAAATATTGTTAATTTTAGTGAAAATTTAGTGTTTTAATAAAATAATTTAATTACAAATTCTTTTTATATAATTAGTTTGATTTAAAGACAATAAAATGAAAGAATCGAACTGATAAAAACAAAATCATGATGTGTAGCATACTTTCAAGGACTGTATATTTTTGTTGATTTTCGTAGAACGTACTATTTAATGAAACTTTTTGATAGATTTTACTTAGTAGGTGGATAGGCAATAATTCAAAATCTTAAATCTTCCTAATTTTCAGTTTACCTTGTAATGATTTGCCAAAGTGGAACAGTGAAGATTAATCTAAATTTGTATTTTAATCAAACTAATATCAAAATAGCTTAATATTTTCTTTTTTTAGTAATTATATCCCAAATTCGAGTGTATTTGTTTTGGTACCTCAGAAAGATTTCTTAAATCGTTAAGTGCTATTAACTTGGCCGCCATTGTAGGCTCACCCTGTGCGAGAGAGGGAGAGGTAGATTGGCAGCTTGGCAGAGGTGTTTGTACTCTCGACAAAGTCGCGTTGGCCGTAATTCGCGTTTTTTTTGCATTCGCCACGCAATAAATTCAAAGCTGAAAAGCAGAATTTATGACGTCGATGATTCGCCTTCTCTTTCTGCCATAACGGTACTGCTAAGACAGTGTCATTAAAAAAAAAAATCGAAAAACAGGGTGTCGCTTTTTGTAAGTATAGAGAAACACTCTATTCCTCCGCGATTTCACATTTTATTTGACTTTTTGTAAGCTGCGAAATCACAATAATTTATGGCACGGCCAAACGGCGGAATTTAATTGCATTCCGTTTTCGCATTAATCACCATTAATGTCAGCGGCTGCAGTCGAGTGGGGTGCAATGTCTGGAAAAGCGTGAAAAGCGAGCCAAGGCCATCTGACAGCAGTAAGTATATACATATGTATATATGTACACACAGATGTAGCTGAAATTGAAATCAATCAGCCCTGAACTGAGTACCCCTACTCCCTATACCCATCTCGCTCGCTATGATCAGCTCTCTCGCTCCCTCCTTTGGGCATCCCGCATGACGTGAGGTCAGCAAAGGCTAAAAAATGGGGAGCTGCTCTAATCTCCTGACCAACTTGTGGCTTCACATCGTTTCCTTGGCCCCACTCGACTCGGATCATTGGCTTTGCCATACTCTTCCAAGCTTGGGGATTATCATTTTCCATTGGGGGATTAACATATGATATTACAGCATGGTAAGTTTTTATTACGCTTTAATTTACAATCCTCAGACTATTATGTTCTGCAGACCATATTATCAGATGATCATTATACCTAATCAACCGGGAACTAATCCTTAAAGAATTTTGATCATTACCTCATTACATTAACAATTGATCAACAAAAAAAATGTGATCACTTTTAGGAATGTCTTCTTATTACAATGCACCCTAAAATTTAATATGTGATTTTATTAACATATAATACATAGTAATCTTTAGTTGATCACATTTTCGATCACTTTTTTTTAATAAAAAGCTAATACATAACAATAAACTTGATGTGTATTAAGCAGTTTTTATCACTGTTTCTTGCTTTGGTTAAATCATCATGACATTATCCGATGATCATTACACCTAATCAACCGGGAACTAATCCTTAAAGAATTTTGATCATTAACTCATTACATTAACAATTGATCAGCAAAAAAAAGTGATCACTTTTAAAAATGTCTTCTCACTACAATGCACCCTAAAAAGTAATATGTTATTTTATTAACATATAATACATGGTAATCTTTAATTGACCACATTTTCGATCAGTTATTGTAGTAAAAGCTGATACGAAAGGTTTAACTTTATGTGTATTAAGCCGTTTTTATCATGGTTTCTTGCTTTGGGTAAATCATCATGACTCAGAGACTTGAGGTATTCGAGTCTTCGTGGTGATAAGATAGTCTTTTTTCCCAGCTGCTGTTGATGCTGCTGTTACCATAGCAATTTCAGTTGGCCAAGTTCGAGCAATTTGCTGGGCAAATCAACGACATGCAAAGCACTTTTGTTTATTTCGTTGATTGTTCCCACAATTTTCGTACAATGCCGGAAAATGTACGTGCCCAAGCGTTGTTACTGTAATTGCCCTCAAAAAAAAAAATAAAGGAAAAAAGAAACCAAAGCGAACAGAAAATAAAGAAGATGAGAGAGAAAAATAAATCATACAACGTGAAAATTCTTTTCAAATGTCAGACAAAGGCGAAATCCCAGAGGGGAAGCGTGGGTGGGGGCAACTCGAGGGGGGATTCCCTGCTTGACAGACTCGAAAGATCTCTCAGATGCGGACGCAAATCACTGAGCGCTGTAATCGTTCCCAGTTTTCGGATAGGCCAGTGAAGATGTTGCGCACAAGATATTGTATGGGAAGATCACGTACAGCATGAAATGGGGGCGTCATTTACATTGCCTTTTGGAGGAGCGAGCTTAGAGCCAGGATCGCATCCCATCGCCTCGGATCGTGAGCGTGTGAATCAAAAGCAAAAGTAAGAGATGAGCCGGCCAACTTTGGAGTAAGGGTCTCGAGAAGGGGCAGCCTAAAATATACGTACTCGTAGATCTCCGAAACGTGATCTTGAAATGAGAACGTGTTGCCTTGTTATTGAGATGTCGAGGATCTGGCGTGAACAAGTCCACAACAAATTCTCAAGTCAAGGGAATCGAAAGGAAAATCGTAACTCTTAAATCCTACTAATAATTTACTGTAAAAAAAATAATTGAAAAGGGAAAATACGTTTGTGTAACCCAAGGGAACTCCCTACAGCAATATGTTTTTGACAGCCGACTAATGATATATTTCACCCTCACTTGTCACTGACAAAGGTACTAAAGATCGTTTCAAGAGTTAACTAAATTCATTTCAAATCCATTTTAATTCAAATTTAAAGTCAAACCGTAAAGTTCTATAAGTATGCGGAAGTTTCGGGTATCCAAAATAAACGCCAAAATTCTGCGCGCAACTTTTTTTTTCGCCAGATGCCTGGGATTGGTTTTCTTTCGATTTAAGAACTCGAAAGATAATGTTTTGGTCTTCGAGGAAAGCGGCTGGAATCGGAGATGGTGGAAGTGGTTTACAGTAATCCTGCGACTTATGCCTCTTTGTGTTACCTTATATATATTTACCCTGATGATAAGGGAGGTCGAAAAAATACACCAAATTATAAGAATTTGTCAACTTTTGTTTACGATACCGAGCTACTTCTCGATGATCCATCTACATTTTTTTCATGGTCGCGAGGTGATTAAGTTGGTAAACCGATACTTAAACCTCTTTCGTCAATTAAGATCCTTGACTGTGAGGAAGAATATTGGATTTGGAGGAGGTCAAGAGTTACTGCTGATTACGACATTTTTTTTTTACCAATTTCAAGAATTCGTATTTCTTTGGAGTATTGTGCCCCTTGCCATAAGTGCTAAAAAAATTTTACTCTCGGCCTGCTTTGCTTATGCAGCTTTCGCAAGTAATATGATACTTCGTATAAGTTTTGTTTGGTACCTTAACTTGGGCGTCCTCTTCGCCGAGGTGAAAGAATGCATGTGTTTTGAACTCCAATCCCAGAACGTCAAAACCAAAAATCTTCATCGAAGATTGAAACGCATTATGGAAATTTTCATTGATATAATTGATGTGGTCTCTTTACTGCAAGGAATTATTAATGTTTATCTATTTTTAAATCTGTTCCACAAACTATTTTATATAGTCGTCATCTCAAACGATATGATTACCTTTTTGCAATTCTGGAAGTTTTTGCAGTGGTTTCTTTTGATAAAAGTGACAATCGAAATCTTTGCTGTAGTTTTGGCAATTCAAGAATCAATTAATCAGTTTAGACACATTCAAGAGCTCACCCTAGACCTTTTCCTAGCCTCCGAGCTGAAAGATTGGACCAAAACGGTAAGAGAAGATCATATTTTAGTGTTTTTAGGCCACTAATGACATTTTGTATTGCCTTTAGGTGGAAATATTTGTGACACATTTACACCTAAAAAAGTTTAGGGTTCGTCTTCTGGATATGTTTGATGTTTCCACTGAGTTTTTTCTGATAACCATATCTGGTATAGTAAATTATATCATTTTTATCGTACAATATGTTATGGAAAGTCAAAATATGCAGTTCTTAATACTGTTTAAATACTGTTTATTTTCAAATTCGATTCATGTCGCGGTGTATTTGCAAATTAATTATAAAAGAACAGTTCCCTGTTAGTTTCTAGTTATTTTATTTGTTTTAAATATAAATAAAGTATCCAATGTTGTATCTTGTTTTCCTGGCTAACCTTAGAAATGGATCAACCCTCATTATGTGACAATATAGATATAGATAATTCTAGCCAGAATATAAAGCTTTCAAAAGTTTGTATGAGCTTGTACTTAATGGTATTATCTGTTTGACAGGTGATGCATGATGCAAGCCCTTAGGAGACTTCAGATCTTTTCAAAAGTTATCTTTTCATTAGCTAACTGCATAACAGTTGAGTATTGAGTATTGTGGTTGAAAGTTAGCAAGTCAAATCCAGTTCCCGGGATGAATGTAGCCCAAGCAATTTTGCGTGGCATGTTTTTAGTTGCCAAATGGATGGGTTTGTTCCCCTTCCGTTTTGAGAAATCAAAAGAAAATACTATGATCATAGAGGATATCTGGAGCCATCGTTCGTTTTGGAAGTGGTTCACAATAATCCTGCGACTCGTTCCCGTTTGGGTCAATATTTATACCTATGGATTGTGGATAATGCAGGCGGAAATTGTGCTCTCAGTACTGCACTACAGTCATCTTTTAATAACGACAATCTGCTACTTATCGTGGATTCATCTTCAGATTTGCCATAACAATGAGTTAATTTACTTGGTCAACCAATATCTTAAGTTGTATTGGCGAGTGAAGTCGCTAAATAGCAGAAGACCTGCCAGATTTGGAGGCCGAAGAGAACTATTTCTGATTGTAATTTCTTTGGGCTGCCAGGCCCAAGAAATCGTGTTTCTGTTGGGATTAATGGAGTGGGTCAATAATTTTGGTGGTGTCCCTTATGGTATAATATCCTGGGCTTCCTTTACATATGTCAGTTTGGCGACCAATATGATCATACGTATCTGTTTTATTTGGTACCTTAGCCTAAGTACGCTCTATACCGATCTAAAGGAAAAAATCAATTTTGAAGTGCAGTTTAAAGTGCAGACCCATAAACTTGATCGAAAAGCAAACATCACCCAACGATTAAAGAAAACAATTTCTATTTTCAAGAAGATTTCTTATGTGGTAACTTCATTGCAGAGTATTTTTAATGCTTACCTATTTTTGAGCCTGTTCAATTCACTAATGTACATTGTCGTGCTCTCTTACAATATGATTATCGATTTGAACTTATTCGAGTTTTGGTTAAGTTCCGTTATCATTAAAATTTTACTCGATGTCTTCACCTTATGTTCGGTAATTGATGAAGCAGTCAATCAGTTTCAATGCATTCGGCTACTCACCCTTGAAATCCTCTTTACAGATGACCTTAAAAATGTCAACCAAACTGTGAGTGAATCTCTTACTTGAGTTTTACTGAAACTTATAAGATTCATCTTATCCCTTAGATAGAAACATTCGTCACCCATCTAATCCTAACCGAGTTAAACGTCCGACCTTTGGGACTTTTTAATATCTCCAACAAACTATTCCTTCGGATTTTCTCGGGAGTAAGTAGTTATGTGATTTTTATTGTTCAATCTGTACTTCAAATACGACAAAAGTAGTGCTAGATGTGATTTTGTATTAAAATACGAAACATTTGTCTACATTCTAACCATGTATATTCTTCAATACCTTATAAACCTACATATTATTGTAAAATATGCCTGTTAACCACAATATATGAATATTTTCTAACTTTACCGATACTCAACTGATTTATAAATATAGTTTTATCTTGCATCACCTGTCGCAGACATTTACTTCCCCGCCTTTTAATCGGAAACCGAGATTTTATCAAAAGTTAAGTAGCCATTAACGTAATTCATTCAGAAAGACTTTTCAGTTTCGGCCGAGGTTTAACGCAAACAAGTCCTGCCCAAATTTCTGGAGATGTATGCTTCTAAATTTTCTTCGGTAATCCTTCGCGGCATGTTTTTTTACGCCAGATGTCTGGGTCTTGTCGCCATCCGATTTAGGAAACCGAGGGATAAAGTTATTGGCATGGAGAAAACTTGGTGTATTCGTCGAACGTGGTGGAAGTGGTTTCCTGTTATCTGGCGACTTTTACCTGTCCTCGCATATTTTTATACATACGGTTCATGGATTTGCAGCAGAACACGTACAATTAATATAATACTGAACTCAATTCGCCTTGTGCTTTCGAGTGTCTGCTATCTGTCGATGATTTACGTGCGGATTTTTCATGGAACAAAGGTGGCTAAGTTGATCAGTCGATATTTGGCTATCTTTCTGCGGAAAACCTGGAGACTTGGAGGCGGACGAGAGTTATTCCTAATCTTTCTTTCGTTAAGTTGCCAAGTTCAAGAGATCATGTTTATGTGGGGAATATTAAAATGGGAACTCAGTGTAAAAAATATAATCGGGTGGGCCACTTACACTTATGTAGTTATTGCTAGCAATATGATTATGCGTATAAATTTTATTTGGTACCTTAGCTTGGGTGTTCTCTATAGAGATTTGAATAAAAATTTAAATATTCAATCAAGATCTCTAAGGTATAAGTCTTTGCGTTTTCGGATAAAAAGAACCCAGCGACTGAAGAAAACCTTTTCGCTTTTCCGGGAGCTTTCCTATGTAGTTCCCGTTCTGCAGGACGTTTTCAATGTGCACCTATTTTTGAACACAGTGCAGTCAGTTTTTCACATAGTGGTGATTTCTTATAAAATGGTAATGGAATTAAACTTTACTAAGTTTTGGTTATGGCTATTTTTTCTTAAAAATATGGTCGATTTGCTCATTCTAACTTTAGCTATTCAAGAAGCAGTTAATCAGTTTAGATACATTAGGGAACACGTTCTAGATATTTTCTTTGTCGGCAAGTCAAAAGATTGGATCAGATCGGTGAGTACATTTATTAATTGAGTTCAGCAGGTGCTCATTAGAAAATTTTCCTTTGGCTTTAGGTGGAAATGTTTGTCACCCATATGAACCTGAACGATTTTAGGGTTCGGTTTTTGGGCCTTTTTGATGTTTGCAACAAACTATTCCTTGTGATTGCATCTGGATTGGTTTGCTATCTAGTTTTTATCGTACAGTTTGTAATGCAGATTCGAGGGAAATAGTTTGATTACAGCAAAAATGAAAAGGGAAGAAAATATGTTTATATTTCGGAACCTGATTAGAATAAGTGTTCGTATTGATGTTAATAAGTCTATATTAGATGACAAACTCCGCTAAAAACGATGGGTTCTATAATAGAACTACTATTTACATAATTTGTTAATCTATAAAGAACGCATAAACTATATTGTTAAACAGTTGTAATATTTTTCATCACCAATGTCTACAAGATAAACATTTTACTTTGGAACGCTAAATTTGGACTATCAGTATAATATTTAATCATATTAATATTATTGACTTAAGGCAATGAACAACATTCATAGTAGACACACAAATAAATAAACATAAAAGGCCTGCAAGAAAATAAATCAAGTAGGTGAGTAATTTTTCGAGCTATGAATACTGGGACTTCAAAGGGACTCCCTTCAGTCATGATTGAACGTCTTAGGAAGTTGAGCCTGCCAGCCGTCACCGCGGCTATCCTGTTTTGCAGTTACCACTATGGAAGGGTCCTGGGAGTGATTTGCTTTGACATTGGTAAAAGAACCTCAGATCAGTCCTTGGTGGGTCGCAATCGGAACCGACTTAAATGGTACTGTCTGAGTTTACGGCTCATTAGCGCCACGTCAGTATTGTGTTTCTGTGCTCCTCACGTTGCGGAAATCGAGGATCGCTACATTTGGATGCTACAATTCCTGCGTCTTTCGGCCAGCCTCATATGCTCCATCTGCATTATAGTGGTTCAGATTGGCTATGAAAAGGAGCTACTTCGGATGATCAACAGTTTCCTGCGGCTTTTTCGACGTGTTCGTCGTTTGTCGTCCTTGAAAAGGATTGGATTTGGCGGCAAGCGGGAGTTCTTCCTGCTCACTATCAAATTCATCTGCTTGGTCTACGAACTGTACTGTGAGTTGTGCCAACTGGGCCATCTACACACTTTGCTAATGTTGTCCACAATGATGTGGGATATAATCCTGGAAATTGGTTCTCTGATGATTATACACATTGGATTCTTTGGATACCTCACCGTAGCCGCTCTGTATACCGAGTTAAATAGATTCGTGCGTGGTGAGCTAAGACGACAACTAAGATCCTTGGAGCGTCCTGGCGGAGGTCCTGTAAGTCGACGACAACTTAGGATCGTCGAAAATCGCCTGGATGAGTGTATATCAGTTTACGACGAAATCGAACGAGTGGGCCGATCATTTCATCGCCTCTTTGAATTTCCCGTTCTTATAATTCTTATTGTAAAGATATTTGCCACTGCTGTATTATCCTACGAGGTGATCATTCGATCCGAGTTGTATCCCAGTAAGGCTGGTATGTGGGGTCTGGTGGTGAAGAGTTTTGCGGATGTTATACTCCTCACCTTGGCGGTTCACGAGGCGGTCAGTAGTTCACGAGTGGTTCGGCATTTGAGTTTGGAGAACTGTCCCATCAGCGATCACAAGGAGTGGCACGTCAAGGTAAGTCTATACATCGTTGTTAATAATAATAATAATAATGCTATGTTCTCTCTTTCAGTGGGAAATGTTCTTGAGTCGCCTTAACTTCTTTGAATTTCGGGTTAGACCCTTGGGATTGTTTGAGGTCTCCAACGAAGTAATCCTGCTATTTATATCCAGTATGATCACTTATTTTACCTATGTGGTTCAGTACGGTATTCAAACCCATCTATTGTGAATTGTGCTCAAAACATACTTATTAATTTTAATTACGATTTTTTAACTGTTTTAACCTATGTACTATATATCATTTATCAATAATACGCGCATCTAAGCCATTCAATGGGTTTGTTTCGTTGTCATTAGCTAAATTGAAAACCAAATCCAGATAGGGGTCAAAAAAAACAGGGAGTGACTGGCTGTTAAACCAACCGGCAAACTAATTACTTAATGGGTAAATAAAGTATATGGATGGCTTTGCCACTTGAGGTCTGTTAGTCATGACGGGAATACAGAGCTGTCTAAACGTTTCCAGGATTTCTAAATTGCTGCTTCGAGGTGTCTTTTTTTATGCTACTTTTTTTGGAGTGATTAGCTTTCGAATCGAGAGAAAGAGCTCCCGTCTGGTAGCCATCAATAGTCGGGGTTACCTTTGGATCTGCCTAGTAATCCGACTTCTGACCTGTGGATTTAATGGCTATAGTTACGATATATGGGGTTCCCAATATGCCGATTTCTATATTCGGGCTTTCTTCTCCCTTCGATTGTACGGATGTCTGATCTGTAGTGCTATTATCATGGTGCTGCAATTTTGGTTCGGCGAGGAGCTACTTATATTGATCAACCGATTTCTAGAGCTCTTTCGGCGAATGCGAAATCTTACACAATGCCATAAAAATGGATTCGGTGACAAGAATGAGTTTGCTTTGATAACCGTTAAAGTTATTTCCTTAATTTTTGTATTCATATCTTTTCGGTTTACGCACTCACCCTGGGTCCTGTTTACTATATTATGCGATTTATACACCTCCATTGGCACTGGAATGATTATTCATCTGTGTTTCGTTGGCTACCTCAGCATTGGTGTCCTTTATAAGGACTTGAATAGTTATGTGTTGTGTCAGTTAAAGACACAACTGAGTTCTCTGAATGAAGACGACATTGGATTAAATCAACAGCCCACTCGTGAGGCCATCTCAAATTTGAACAAGTGCTTAAGGCTTTATGAGGAAATTCATCAGGTGTCTCGTAGATTCCAGCGGCTTTTCAATCTGCCACTTTTTCTCATTTTGGCACAATTTCTCTTTGCCATGGCTATGGTTTCCTATCACGCCATTCTGCAGATGAATTACGCCTTCAACCTGTGGGGATTGGTTATCAAACTGCTCATCGATGTGGTGCTTCTAACTATGTCTGTACATTCAGCTGTTAGTGCTTCTCGATTGGTAAAGCGTCTGAGTCTGGAGAATTTCTATGTGACTGAGAACAAGGGTCACCATCAAAAGGTAATAACATGTTTATTATTATTTCTAAGTATTTTAGAATAATTTAAGATAGACGCAAGTTCATACCACACTAAAAAAGTGGAAGAGTCTTATCACACACTTGTTTAAAAAAATATATGAATACAGAAATGTAATATTTTATATAAAACCTATAACATTGTATGACTAACTTTTAAAGTATTTTAATCAAACCATGTGATTTCACTTAAACCATGTGATTTCATTAGTAATAGGGATGGCATGTTAAAATCAAAGTTCAAAATCTTCAAATTAACTATAATTGTTAAATTTATTATTTCCAAAAACTAACAAAAAGCAGCAATGGATGAAAAACAAAGCTCTAAATATTTTAACTGAATATAAAAGCGTTAGACTTGATACGATTTTTTGTTAAAGTAAACATCGAAAGCAGGGAAAATGTGGGAAAACTTATTATATTGATTTGAAAACATATTATTATTATCCTTAGATTTTCTCTCTTAAAGATAAATAAACATTTCAATTCCATAAACCTATTCATTTATTTTCCCTCCTTTCAGCTGGAGCTTTTCCTGGGCCGCCTTCATCACCAGGAGTTGCAGGTGTGTCCTCTGGGCCTTTTCGAGGTCTCCAACGAGCTGACCCTGTTCTTTCTCTCCGCAATGGTCACCTATGTGACCTTTCTGGTACAGTACGACATGCAGTCGCAGCAAATGTGATTCAGCGTCACGCATTGTTTGCGGTATTACACCCTCCCAAAACCTCGCGATACACGATACACCTGCTTGTGGCCATACGGTACAGCCCGGCCCACCTGTCCTGCGGTTGCACGCAAATAAAACGATGAATAAAGAACGGAATTTAACAGCAAAACCAAGCTCAAATCGGCAGTTGCAGGACCCAATTCCCAATTTCCGCCTAACCGTTTGTTCCGCTGCAACTTTTCCCATGAAACTTGGTCGCGGCATTAATTAAACATTCATGCTGACGTCAAGCAGAAAATTTATGCAGCATTTCGAAGATGAGGGAACTGAGAGGGGGAATATCAGCGGACAGTTCACGTTAAAAAGCGCATAAAAACAAGGCCGAGGCCGTCGCTCTAATTAGCATAGGTTAGGGCACAAAGCCGGTCCTCAAAAAAGAAGAGAAACCCATAAAGGTGCACTTGCCACTGCACTTGTTCTTTGGACAGTCAGGTTCACTAAAAAAAGCAGACAAAGGGCCGGCGAACGGCGGCGATAATAAAAAATCAAATTGCCCCAAGAGCAGAGACCCAAGATGAGATGAACACTATTATCTCGGTAGTGAAACTGGGTCCGGAATAATGACACGATCGGTTCTGCTCCTGCTCCTGCTGAGATTTCGCTCTTTTAACTGGAATTCTGGGGTGCACTATATACCCTTTACTTTACAGGGTCTGCTGGAATAATAAAGATATTTCAATATAGATATATCAATATTTGAGATACTATTTTAACTTTGTTTATATTATATTATATCTTAAAGATTATTTCTATGGGTTATAACTATTAGATATAATATATATTATATAAGGAAGATTATTTATATGGGTTATATCTAATAGATTGATGTATAGATTATATCTTAAAGATGATATGTATTGGTAATTATTATTAAAGAACTATATCTTGTTCTTAGATGGTTTAAATAACTTTCTTCAAAAATACTATCTTGCTTATGACATTAAGAAAGTTAGGTATATGGGAATCTCCCATTCGAAAAACTACGACCAAAAATATGGCTCGACTTTAGTTAGTTCCCTCCTCCATTCTTTTTTGTGCGTGCTGTGTAAACGGCAAGATAATCATAAAACATAGCATTGCTCAAATAATTGTACTTCATAAGAGACATAACCGAGAGACAGAGAAAGGGGGGTGGCGGTGGAGTCGGGTGGTATGAGACCGAGCCAAGTTACAGTCAGTTTTCCCATGATTGTTCTGCTGCCTGGGTAATTATGGGTCACTTTTTTACGGAATCTCTCTCTCTCTCCTTTCATTCCGCAATTATCATACTTACCTGCAACTATGTGCCAGCCAAAGCTAAAGCTAAAGGCATAAAGCCGGAATCAAGAGAGACGGAAAAAAGAATTAATGATGCTTTCAACATTTCACTAGACAAAAGAAACAGCCTGGGCCCGAACTTGGGAGCTTGAGTGCCTGAGTGCAGGTAGCGGTGCTTGCTTTTGGCCAACAACCCATACCCATACCCATACCCACAGCCATTCTGGCCAAAAAGTACAGCTACGAGAACGGATGAAACGAAGGAAATCCCATCATCATTACGATGATTATGCCGATGAAAGCCTCGATTTCAATCAAGAGTCCAAGAATCAGAGCGGCAACCGGTAGCAACTTGGAAATCAGCAGGGAACGAAGACCCATTAGCCCTAAAAGCTTTTGGGGGCCCCGGAAACCCATTGAGAATTGCTAAAATGTAACTGCTGGTCAGTTGATTGCTATAATTCCGCCCAAAATTGAGTGGCGAAAACAGAAACATCCCGCTAAAACTAACAAAAACCCTTTTTACCGATCGACAATGGGCGTAATTAGTTCTAATTTATTTATGGCTCAATTAGGCAAAGGGCTTCGAGTTGGCAGCTTGATGATATAAGCCTTTTTTGCTTGATGATATAACAACTTGAGGTGGCCGCGGGCCTGTTATCTAATCTGATCTACATGGGACTACATCTGGTCATGAATGTTTCAACGGAAGAACAGTCATGGCAGGCAAAAAAAAAAAGATTTAAATTTTTGGGTTCCAGAATGTGAACAATAACTCGTGCTCAGAACCGTTATGCAATCATACATTAGATTTATTGTTGGGTTTTTCGAGTTGAGATGATTTAAGAGATTGTAAAATATTTAATTTACAGAAGGTAATTTATTTTATTTCTAATGGTAGCTTTTACATAGAAATAAATATTTTTTAATGTTAGTATATAATTTCATATCTAAGATCTGTTTTTGATTTATCAACTTAAGAAGTCGAATGAACAACATCCAAGACAATAATGAGCTGTGAAAGTTTATCGTATCTTATCAATGTTTTTTTGGAATTTATCACACCAATTTGTTGTCGATTTCCATAGTTGCCACGACTAGGCAGCTAGGAAGCCAATTACTGGGCTTCCACATCAATCAATTTAGGTCATATTCAATCAAGGTGCCGTCACGAAGTGCATTGGAATTTTCCATCTTCGGAATGCGCAGCTAAAATTGACTTTATTGCGTTTCGAACTGGAAAAGCACGTAGATCGCCATTGACCCCCCAACCATCCCCTTTTTCAGGCCCCATTGGGTTGTCAATTTTATTCATGGAGCTAATTAAAAATGGCACATTAATGCAATTGTGGCCCAACCTTTTCTAGACGCGTTGCCATCTAAGTACACACACACAACTTTTATATTTGCTTATTAAGGTGGGTCATTATGATTAACGCAAAAATATAGTAATATAGCACTATTCTGAGAGGCTTTCACATTTTAGGACACAGAAAGATATTGCAAACAAATTTCAGTAGCTAATGGGATTTTAATTGTAAAGTCTTGAAATTGCCTTCATAATCTTTGATATCTCTCACTTTTAATTCTTAAACAATATTGATCCATTCATACATACATATATCCTAAATGTATTACTTGGATCTATAAAAATTCCATTTGATGTAATACTTTTATATATTAAATGCTGTGTTAAATTCTTTTTGACTTATTCTTAAATGGGTTCCTTAAGAAATAGGGTTCCTATTTGCCAGTAAAATATTGCCTAGAATTATGCATAGGTTTTCCCTATATCGACCCACCCTAATCTACCCAAGTATATACCTTGTTTATTTGTATGTGAATATTCGTATTTATATGCAGAAACCAAGTGAAGACAAAACGATTCGCAGGCGACTGTAAAAGTTCGAGGCCCCAAAGAAATTGGCACGAGCTGAGCACACGTCCCGAGTTGGGAGTTGGAGTTGGGAATGGAGTCGGAGGAGATTGGGTCTTGGTATGGGGATGGGGGCATAGCCCGAGATCTGGTTGGGTTGGGGTACAGTTTCTGGCACAGCATTTTACGAGCACACATATGGCGAATCCGAATCCGCAGCCGAGAATCGCGAGTGGCGGAATTGCGAAGGGGAACCCGTTTTGTGGGCTGTTTTGGGGGCGCGTAGGCGCTCGACACACGCCCAGTTGGAAGTTGGATGCTGGATGCTGGGTAGAGCGCGTGTGCAACGTGCCAACATCTGGAGACGGATCCAGTTTGCAGACACAACCACACATCGACATCCATAGCTACAGTCCCAGAACCCAGAACCCAGGCAAAATCTATAGCTAAAGCTCTGCACAGTAGCCACGGGCCAGGTTGGATTGGGATCGGACCTGGGCGCAAGATAATCGATGTATACTAATTATTTGCTTTGGCTGCAACTGTTTGTCATGCTCCGCTCAGTGGCTGTACATCTGGGCATCAGTGCCGCAGAGCCGAAGTGCCGCAGTGCCGCATTGCCGGTACAGCAAAAACAAAAAGCCCCATCTGAAAGGCCCCACAACTTCGTCCGATCCGTCCGACGGTAGCCAACACCCCAAAGAAAACAGCGAGAGCGGACCCAATGGATCCACACTGAAAGAAATATAATATATATGGTTTCTAAGGTGTTCCCATTACATACTTTTAAAGTTTTAAATTGCAAAAATGAAACTAAGTAAGTTTAATTTACTTCATATTCATTCCTCTTTTAAACCCGCAACTGACAAATGATTCCCATTTAAATGACAATTAGCCTTGTTCTTGATTTTTAATCGTATAAAAATACATATGTCTTTGAAAGTTTTCATTCACGATGCAAATAAATCGTTTGAAGGCGAATTGAGAACAAGGTTGTGTGTGCTGCAAGCTTGTTAAACCGGTGAATGTTGTCCTACAATGTATTATTCAAAACATTAAAAACGTGCATACGTTTATAAGACTGCCATAGATATGTAAGATAATTCAAACTGATATCATTGGCTGTCACTTAATTGACATTCGATAAACAGTAATTAATCAAAACTTTCTTGCGATTTTTTATATGTTTAAACATAGTATAAAGTTTCTTACTAAAAGGCACCCTGATATTGATTAAAATATTTCATAGATGAGTTAATCTTAACTAATTGTATCCAAAATCAAACATAACACCAAATATTATTTGTAGAGATTTTCTGGAAATCACTTAGACTGCTTAAACAAATAAATAAAGCTTATCATCAAGAAAAACTCCAGATTTCGAATAGAGATCCACACTTTCTTCCATTTTACAATGGAAAATAGATGAGAAAGTGTTGAATCCGACTAAATCACAGTTAGATGGTTCTAAAATGAAATTTCTTAGAGTGTACGAACTCGGACAGACGCACAGATGTGAGTTCTCCAGTGCCACTGCCCCTGTGCGAGTTGAGGCTGAGCAAATATATCGCCGTCAGCTAAAATAATGGTCATCGACAGCAGCAGCAGCAACAGGAGTTGTTGTCTTGGGCAAGGTTGCGGATGATTTTGAGTTTTGGAATGGGAATGGTTCTGGGTTTCGGTATGGATATTGGTATAGGTATAGCAACAGGTGTGGGGCGAGCGGGGGGACAGACATCTCCGCACGGTAGTCAAGTTTAGACACCTTAAGTACACAGGAAAGCGTCATTTATGCGCTCGTTTTCAAAAACGACAAGCACTAGGCGTGGCAAAAGGGGGGTCCTTCGAAGGAAAAGGGGGTTTCCCGGGGGGGGCCTGGGATGCTGCCCCATGTTGGCTACGCGATTAATTACACGGCCAGCAGATCAGTTTAAAGCCCAGCCAAATTATAGATATCCGCAGCTGCAACAGATTGCTGCCGTTGCACTGCAACAAGGTCAAATCCGACTAGCCGGCTGGAGTGACTAATGCTGCATGTTGCACATTGCATGTTGCATGTTGCTCTGCCACAGATCGATTTCAATCAACACTCCCCCCGGCGGGCAGCAGCAGCAGCAGCAGCAGCTTTTGCCTTTCAAACACAAACAACAAAAAAGTACAGTCCACAAAGATCAACAACAACAGCGACGGCGGCAGCAGCAGCAACATCTCCAGCAGCAACAGCAACATCAAGCACGGCAGCAACATCAGCGGGGCAGAGCGAGAGGGGGCGATGTACGTCAAGTTTTCGTTTGGCTTTGGCCAGCTTTTTGATTTGGCCGAGACGTGTGGCAAGCCCAGGTCTCAAAACTGGTTTGTGATTTCAGATTTGGGAGCTGCAAAAAAAAATAAAAAAGTTCAACAACTGCCTGGCGAGCAGCGCTGCTGCAGATGTTGTTGATCTCGTGCTGTTGTTTCTGCTGGTGTGTTGTTGCTGCTGCGGTGTTGTTGCTGCGGTGCTGTTGCTGCTGTTTTGTTGCTGCTGCGGTGTTGCTGCTGCTGCTGTGTTGTTGCTCTCGACTCAATGCAAAGACAAGTAGCCGAGAGACAACGACAAACGAGCGAACGTTGCGTAAATTACACGAAAGAATAAGAGAAACACGAAGCTGGAAAAATCACTAAACAACGACAACAAATGGGAAAGCACACTGAAAAAAATATCATCAAATTTGGGCATTAATAATTTTAAAGTTTTCTAAACATTTTTGAAATTGTACCAAAATACCAAATCAATCAAACCAATATATATTTTAAAATAGACGAGAAGTTGCAACTAAATACTCCTGATATTTACAGTGTAAAAAGCATTTAAAATTCTAAAAATTTATTTAAATATGTATTGTAATGTTACTTTTTCAGTTTCAAATTATTACGGTTTTTTTAATTTTAAAATTATTTTATTATTTTAAAATGGAACTGTCTATTTAAAGAGGTTTCTGATATAGTCAAGCCTTTTCCTCTCTGCAGGAGTAAAAAAGAGACACTAAATAACAGCAGCAAAAAGTAAAAATAAAATACTGTAACAAGCGAAACCCACAAATCAATATTCTTTTACGATCGACTGTAGTCGACCTCAATTATTAAATGGCCAAGTTTGCCGACTTCTCTCTCACTCTTTTTCATTCGTTCCGTCTCTGTCTCTAAAATGTTTTCCCTCTCTTTCTCTCGACTATGCTTTTTCTAACACTCTTGTGTGGATTCCATTTGCCATAAAGTGCGTAAATTTTGTGGGAAAGTGGGTCAGACACACACCGAATTTCGAATTTCGGTTCATCGAACACACAAATAACCCGATGTCGGAATGTGTGCGTGTTGGAATCGCCCCTCGATCACCACCCCTTCCATCTCCTTTTTTTTTCAACCATCACAAGTGACGCAGTGTATCGCAAATACGCCACCGATCGAGTGTAGGGTATTACGGATTTTGGGTACTCCCTGCCGCGGGGAGTTTATTTGAACTGTGTCGCAACGTTTGCAACTGCGTTTAATGCTACCGATAGATAAGATAGCGAAACTCTGATGTCCCAGCGGGTTCTTGACCTCATTCAATGTTCCCCTTTTGTAATATTTAAATTGTAAGTCGTAATAATGATGTAGTTATAAAGATAAATACTTGAGTGGGGGCTTGATAATGAAATAATGCTTTCAGCCTATAGATAACGTAAAAAAAGAACAAGCAATTTTCTATCAATCCACAAAGAAAAATCTATACAGCTGGAAAAATCGTTTAAAAAGAGAGCTTTAATACTTATTTTTTAAAGAATTTTAAAACTTACTTTTCATTTATTTATTTATTTTTTATTCGTTTCGGTTTTGCTTATTAAATAATCATATAAGCAGTTTTAATAACACAAACAGTTGTAGAGTATCAGCATAGCAAGAATTATGTTACGCAATTGAACAGATGTTGACCTAGTTCAGTAACTTTTCTAGTGAAAAACTAAGAACTATAAATCTTAAAGTTACAAGAGCGCTTATATGTAATGTGTATCTAATATCCAACCAAAAAACGTAGACCAGTTTTATGTTTACCTTGGGATCTGCGTAGGGCATCCACTAATTCGTGGAACTTTATTCTCGACGCTTAAGCAACTTGTTGTTTGTTGGCTTTGTAGGTTTTTAGGCCAAAAACGGGTATTTGGCATTTGCTGTTTTTGGTGTGTGTACGTATGATCCCTCAAAAGCGTAGTACGGGGCCAGTCGGGGTCACTCCCCCGCAACTCTGTCCCGATATCTCTATCTCCGAGATACGAACAACACCACCTACAGATGTTTTTTTCTTTCGCGATCGTTTTCTTTGGGTATTGTTGTGCCTGTTCGCGTATCTGTCGCCCACTTAATTTACTATGCATTCTGATCGTATGTAGTTTCAAGCGCAGTAACAACAGGCCCACAATCAGGAAACTTATCGTTCTCGTTCTGGGTTCGGGAAAAGTGGCAATGTCTAGACTCCATGGCTTGCCCCACAAACGAAGTTCAAACAACATTCGGGCACGCTTGTTTGCCGATCTCCCCATTTAACGCATACCTTCCCCCCTTCCCGATTCCTAGTGTTATGACAAATGAAGTTGTTATTTTGTTTATGTCACGTTTATGGACACACGATCTCTTTCTATTGCCCCCCACTCACGATCACGTTTCGTGTTGATTGCGATTGTGGTTTCTATTTTGTTTCTGCCGATTCGTAAGTGAAAGTATATGGAACATGACGTAGCTGCCGCTCTCCGCATGTTTGGCTTCTGCGGCGGCTTCTGTGGATTCTACAAAGGTCAAAGTGTTTGCCGCCGTATTTGCTCATCAGCCCACTTGATAAGACCCCCAAAGGCAACCCACGGAGTTTCATTCGATAGAATGATGGGTGTTTGATTTCTTTTGATACCTATTATGTGTTAGTTACCATAGTTTATTATAATAATGAAATATTTTAAATGTAGTATTAAATGTATTGAGACTAATTACTTCTGGATCTATAAGATAATCATAGATTTTAAAAGTCCCTAGTTCTGAATATTATCAGATGCATGCATTATAATGCATGGAAATATAAGGTTCTAGGTTATAATAATCGAACGATTTTTGTTTAAAACGTCCATCTATAGAGTTTTTTGTGATTGTAAGTATAGACGATGTCATATAATAATAATATAATACAACACCCGAAATATTTTAGCAATGACATATTATGAAAAATTTTAAAAATATAATGATATAATTTAGGACAATCTAGTGGGTATCTGTTAGTTCTTACTATCTCTCTGTGTAAAAGCAATGAGCGTTGACTGGATCGCTAGTTACATGTGTACAAATGCTCAAAGACAAAAGTGGGCTGAAGGGGGAGTTGGGTGGTACTTGCAACGCGACTCTTTGGCGGCGGCACCTTTCAACTGGCGGCGGCATCCCGACAATGCCGCAGCTCCAGCTCCCAGCTGGGTCTCCAAAGTGCCAGGCCAGAGCCCCATTCCCATAACCTAACCATTCTCGACTCAATCGCAGTGCCGGTGCCAGAGCTTCCGAACTAATTACATTGCAAAATACCTGAAATGTTGCGAACGGCAGGAAATCAGCGAAACGGGAACGCTGCTCAGTTTTCTGGAATGGGTTCTCTGCTCTGGGTTCCTGAGTGGGTTTTAGTGGATCCGGTGATCAGATCGTAGCCCCTGACTGGCCGGAAATATGCATGGCTTGGCCAGAGCTTTTGGCCAGCTCTGTGGCTCCAAATGGGCGCAAAAACAAGCGAAAAATTTGAATGTGCTCTCGTCAGTGTCAGGAATTGGAAGATCCCCACCTCCAATCTGGAATATACATACTATATATCTCTGGTAAGCCCCTGCCCCTCCAAAACAAAAAAAACCGTGTGCAGCGGAGCAGAGAGCTCGGAAATTAATTCAGTTGCAGGCCAAGGCGCGTATTTCTGCCGTTGTGTTTGCTTTGTTTCCATTTCGCCACCGTCGCACTCACGGGTCAGTTGGGATCGAATCCCGGGTTCAGATGCCTCCACTATAACCCCTCCGCATGAATATGTCTACTCTACATATATAATAGGCGTGACAAGCGCGTTACGCTCCGCTGACGCCCAAAATAATCAAAGACTTGAGTCGAGACGATGGCGATGACGATCAAGTGATGGAATGAATTGGGGGTGGGGATGTCGGGGGCGTACACTGATGGTACAGCCTGAAGAATCCAATAAAATAATATTTAAAGTAAAGTAGGGGTTAAAACTTTAATAAATCCATTCAAAAAGCTTACTTTTATATTATATACCATTTTTCAGAATCAGAATCTGTTTATAAGATCATATAAATACCACATCTGCAATTGTAGTTGATAGTAATCTCTTTATTAACTTTGGTTAGTCATTTTAATGTGCCATATATATTTTTCCTAAAAAAGACATATTAAATATATACAAAATAGAGAAATTCTTATTTGTAAACATTTTTTTTAGTGTAGTGGGAGTAATGGGTGTGGGATTTGAGTAGCGGGCGTAGGAGAGGTGGAGGAGTTATGATAATTACACCGTGTCAGACGTGAAATTTCAATTTTTTCATTGCTCATTCCCATTTCTTTAATTTTTTGTTACTCGCTTAACGAGTTCATCTCAGCGGCACTCCGAAAATTGTATCAGAATGTCTTGTGGTATGAGATATAATGAACGATAATGAACTGAGGGCGGTTCAGGTGAACCCCGTAGGTAGAGGTTAACTAAAACATGAGCAGAGATACATAGTTCATAAAAGAGGGTGTTGGGAAAACTTGGAATAATTTACATATTTATTTTTTTAACGGCAAGACAAAAACACATTTAAAACAAGTAAGAAATTAATTTTTGTTTGTTAATCAAATTGATGTTTAATATCCTCGGATGCCTCAAAGCCACCTGTGATGCCAAACTGGAGAAGTATAAACAGGTACGATATAATGGCAGATAGGATGAGGAGGATAAACTCATTGTTGAGATGAAAAAAGCCCAATACTTTGATCTCCAGTCTTTGTGTTTGCAGCTGACTAATAAAAGTTTCAACCTGGAAAAGTTATTATCATTAAAAAAGAGATTTCTTAGAGTATAAGTTTTAAGATACCTACACTCTTATCCCAACGCTCATCCATATCGCTGCAAACTATTTCCAGTGGCAATCTTTTTGGTTTCAGGGACTCGCTCACCGTATAATCTGCACACATAATGAGCAAAACTAGATTAGCCAACTTTACAGAGGCCATGACCAAGGAAACCAGAGCCACTTCATCATCGTTTAGATAGTGCAGAATATACTCATATAACATTAGGCAAATATTTATAAAGTTGTAGTAGACATAGAAGAGGATCTGCCATTGCAACATCCTGCGAAAGGAGATGGTGACTTCGTAGAGTTCACTGTAGATGGCAGCACATTCATCCAACTCATCAGCGAAATCGCACAGGAGACGCATCCGGCGATAGTGGGTCATGCGACTTCCTTCCTCCTGCGACTCTATGGGTTCCATCCGCTTCAGCATGGCCATAATATTGGCAGCCATATGTTCGTACATGATCCCAGAGACCAAAAATCCCAGAAAGCAGGCATCCAGGACGAAAAGCGTCCCCAGCCACATGTAGGTGCCAACAAATACAGCCGCTATCATACCGACGTTTTCAAAGTTTTCGACTTTCAGCAAAGGTGTCACTTCGTGGAAACAACCGCATAAGGTGAAAAAGAGTTTTAGCAAAAAGAAAACCACAAATTTCGGTGGGAACAGCTGTTGCAAACGGGTAGCCGAGCATATCCTTTGGTAAAGAGATAAGTATCTATTTAGCACCTCTCGGAATTTGCTCTCTCCCTTGGCCTGGATTATAAAGGATATGACTGCCAGAATGGCAACCGAAATGACCTGAACGAAGGCAAATAGATCCGCATAGCTCTCCAGACGTTTGCCAATAGTGGATCCGGTTAGTAATGGTAATACTCCTGCGTAGGCTATAACCACCAGGCAACGCCACAGAATACTGAGGATGCGATTACTGCTACCCTGTTTTGGGGACTTCAGCTGCAGTTTATCCGTGTCCAAGTTGGAGGAGAGCAGCGAAAGACCCCGAGCAAATCGATATAGCCACAAGAGCAGGAATCGCGACCAGCTCTCCACTCTTTTCCCGGCCATAACCGAGGACCAACTGAACTGAAGCCTGGCTAATGACATGTCCATGTCCTTGCGTCCAGGGGGATTGCGATAAGGTGCCTGTTGATTTTATTAATTGAATGTGTGGATATCGGCAATTGCCATTCACGCTCCACTGAGTGGCTCGCTGACTGATTGGCCCCAAGAACAACAATCGGGACTCGGAACCCAGAACTCGGGAATCGATGATGATGGACAGGCCAGCCCCGGGACCCATAGACATAGCCAGACCACTTGGGCACTTCGAAAGGCCCTGTTCTTGCCCTTCAGGCACACTGGATCGCAACAGATGGTGCTCGAGAAATAAAACCATCATCGGCACAAAAAAATGGGCGTAAATTGATATTTATGCTCATGTCAATAAAGTTGTTTTGCCTTGATGGACAGCCGAATTTCTCTTTGGAATTTTGTAATGAGGTGAATGGACGAGTACTTCGGAAAATGTATTCCTATGAAGTATCTAACCTACCGCGTTTGTTCATAGAAAAATAGGTCTTTAAAAATGTACTTTGTAAGGAGAAATGGTAATTAAATTTTTAAAAGAAATTAACCCTTTTTTTTTTAATCATTAAAGAAATAAAAATAGTTCCAAGTAATATATTGAACTTAATTATTTTTTTTTTGTTCTACTAATTTTTTGTATTTATCAACCGAAAACAAATTGACTATCAATCTCTTTTTGGTTATTTCTTGTGTAGCATGTTATTTAGGGCTATTAGTTACGTTAATTCTACTCATTATCTTGGTTCTCCTAATTCAAATGCTAACACCTGATTACTTAAATACAAGTTTGAAAGTCATTAACCTACATAAAAAGATTTTGGTAAACATGATTATAAAGCAAAGCTGAAATACATGTTTTTGGATAAGTTATATTGGTATGTATTTAGAAAACATATCAATTTTGTAATATTTAATGTTCAGTGGTACAATTCACTTTATAAAAAGCAACATAAATCTGAAGTGAATATTACGAAATCCCTTGTGTGTTTGTGGATAGAAGCCAGAACCACCATTAAATATGTCACAATTTCTTATCAAGAGAATCCAGTTTATTGGCGGACTGAAAACCTCGACCCGTTTTCCTCGTTCGTTTCCATTTAAATCGCTTTAGTTTGCTTCAATGTGCAATTCATTTGATTTTCCCTTACCGCTTCAATGCGAATTTCATTTCAATTTCAATTCACTCGTGGGCAATTAGTAAGGCGATGACTTCTCGGGCTGAATATTTTTTCGTTGTAGTGGAAATGGAAATTGGAGGAGTGGGACTTGGACTTGGAATAGGAGAAGGAGTAGGAGTAGGAGTAGTTGGAGCTGTGTACCCACTCCCACAAACATTTTCCATTTCCCCCGCTCCCCAATGGGATTGCAAGTTGCCAAACACGTTTGCCGGGCATTAGAATAGCTCCACTTGGAGTCAACGAACCCGCAGCTGTACGAGTTGTTTTTCCAATATCCCCAGCTAGAAGAGCCCAAGAAGGAAGTCGTGAGCCTCGAGAGCCCCTGAATCCGAACTGGCAACTGGCAATAGAAAAACAACGGAGTCAACAGCCTTCGGCAAATCCAGTTGGGAGTTGCAAGTTGCGAGTTGCTAGTTGCTGGTTGCTGCTGGCTGCAGACAGCAACATCGGCGATCAGCAACCAGCAACCAGCAACAGGTCTAGTCCTGCCCCGATCAACAGCAACTATAGCCACTTTAACTTTAACAACCGATGAGGAGGAGCAGCAGAAATGGGCGTGCAACAAGCCTGGGCCCCCAATAACTGGTTTTCCTAGATAGATATAGACAGATAACACCGGCTAGAAAGTCGCTGCCCGGCTCCAGGTCTCCAAGTTTCCAAGTTGCAACAGCAACATCAACATCAGCATCAGCGGGAGCAGCATCCTGCAACCAGTTTACGTACAGTTCGCGTCCGTGTTATTACAGTCCCAAGTACATGGAGTAATTGCATGGACCATGGAGCAGGCCTGACCCCAGTTTTAGTCTTCGGTCTTCGGTCTTCAGTCCCCAGTCTCCAGTTCCCGTGATGACCAAGCTGATGATGGGGATCGCTTTTGGGATGGGGCTGCACCGGAACAAATCACAAATGATTTAGTTGTTTTTAAACACAAGGCTAAACTAATTAAGGAAGGAGACCAACTAATAAAAACAAGTATTACTATTGAAGAATATAATTTTTTAATATTTAAATTAATTATTTATGAAAATGAAACATTGGATCATTTAATAGAAATTGATCTTTTATAACTGTTCAGATCAATAAATATTTTTTGTTTAATTATTGATATTAACATCTAAAATATATAACGATCCAATGATTTTCCACATGTTATATTTTATCATAGCATTTCATATCTTATCATATCATGTATTCATATCATCATATCAGATTACCATATCTATATTGAATCAATAAAAAGTATTAGTTATTTTGAAATGAGATCAGGTAATATAACTTTTTAAAATTTAAATGAAATATGAACGAAAAATGGGATCATTTAATAGAAATGCATCCTTTATAACTGTTCAGATCAATAAATATTTTTTGTTTACCTTGTCGATTTGTAATACTAAGTCCTTTTTGGTACTTTTTCTCAGTGTGATTTTATAGTATGATGCTAGAGCTGCTGCATCTGTGCATCGGGCATTGAACCGATGGAAAGACAATAGGAGCAGGTCCCTAACCAACAGCCAAGCCCCGATCTCTGACAATCTATAGCTTTGGATGCTTATGCTCTTATGCTCGACGCTGCTGCTGTTGTGTTGTTTTGCTAAATTGGAAATAATTGCCCCGAGGCAGCGGCAGAAATGCACGTGTGCACTTGTCAGGGGCGGTGGGCAAACATAGTTTAAAGGGGGCTTTAGGAAAAGTTTTTTTTTCACGATATGGTTTTTTCGAGATATTCTTTACATAATAATGAAATTGAACAAATTAATTCGATTTATCTTTCCTGGAAATAGTATCATGGTTTCATACATTGTTCAAAGATTTAAAGATTGATAGTTCATATCCTTAAACTCATATACCTCTTACTTATACCATTATTCTGAACGACATTTTTGAGAAAGTAGATTTTTTATATTTAATATTTTATATTTTTGATTTGTTGTTTTAAAGAAAATAGCCTTCAAGTCTAGTTAGTCTATCATGATATTTGGGACTTAGAAAGGTAAGTACTGAAAGTACAATTTAGGATCAAACATAAAAAGTATGCTTTAAAATTTTAAGGGAGTGCTTTGAACCCACATCAACCCCTTTTCGGCATAATATAATATTTTGTATTTTTGATTTATTGTTTTAAAGAAAATAGTTTTCAAGTCTAGGTAATCTATCAAGATATTTGGGATATAGAAAAGTAAGTAAGGAAAGTGGCATTTAGGATTAAACAAAATAAGTATGCTTTAATAGGGAGTACTTTGAACCCCCATCAACCCCTTTTTGCCAGGCGCCCTTGTCAGTTGTTGTTTTGATGCTTTTGCTTTTGCTGCTGCTGTTATCATTGTCATCGGTAGTTGTTGGTGTTGTCCGCTATGACATAAAGTAATCCAAGAGAGAAAAGAGAGCGGATCCGTGCGGAAGATCCGCATGCGGAGCAAACAGGCGAGCGAATCTGCAAAAGCAAACACAATGAGCAGCAACAACAACAATAAGCCGGAGAGTCGCGCAAAATAATAATAACAATAAAGGCGAGTACGGCACAATAAAAAAGTAAAGTACAGGAAAGGTTCAACGACATTAGGAGATTAGAGAGCATTCACATGGGACTACGCAACGCCAGCAACAACAAAAACAACACGGAGGAGAGAGTGGATACCATATGCACATTTAAATATGTAAGTGACGGAGAGAGCAGGAGAGAGAGCAACAAAAAAAAGAAACAACAACGACAAATGCATAGAGCACGAAAACAACAAAAAAAGAACAGGCAATACAAAAAAGTCATCGACATCACATGGATTTTTATGTTGATGTTCGATGGGCGGCCACCGGGGGGTTAAGTGGGGGGAGCGGACAGCAAGGACAGGGGTGGGGAGCTGGGGGCACGAGGGGCGGGGCGGGGTGAGTCAGGGACAGGAACATCAACAACATCAACAACAACAACAACAAGGGACACAGAAACAGAGACAGCGACAGGAAAATGTTTTTCATTGTCTATGCCCATTGGAGAAAAACTAAAAGCAGCCAGATGGAGCCAAATGTGTAAAGCCGATGTACTGAAAAAAAATACTGGGTATCCAGTCCTGAAATATATAAATTCTAAAATGAAAGACGATCTAAAGATTGATATGGTGGTGATAATCTGATATGATATGTCAATTTATTTCATACATACATATTCTATTTTGATATGATATGATATTATGCTTCAATATATTTTATACTTATCAAATGATATCATATCATATCACCATATCAATCTTTGAATAGTAATATAATTATTTTTAATTATAATAAAAATATTTATTTATTAACATTTAATAAAATCTAAGATCAGATAAGATATGAAGTGGTAAAACACTATATGTGATTCATAAGTTATGAAAAGGGGAAGAAAAATGTAAATCGTAAAAAGTTTTGGAACTTATTACCTTTATATAAGAACCACAATGGTGATTTTAAATCCTATGCAGATCAAGTATAGATCATTTAAAGATTGTTACTGGTGATCTTGATCATTTTTTTGTCGTTAGATTGATACATATACAGGTGTTTCTTAAAAACTTGGCTGAATGTAAGATTTGAAAGTTTGTTGATTATACTATGTAAGCTTGAGCTATTGTTTGCTTTCAATATTGCATAAATGTTTGACCAATTGGACATGATGTAACACCGCTGTGCACCATTAAGAGATCATTGAACTGAGCAGTAATGGCTTAATTGGAAATAAAAAACTGGATCATAAATTTCAGTGCAGGAGTTGGAGTCATTACAGTTGCGGGAGACATGCCCCATGCGTTTGCATAAGCAGCAGCAACAAAGAGACAGAAATAGGAAAGAGCAGAAAGTAAGGGAGTGGGTGGAGTGTGGGGGGGGGAGGTTGGAAAGTGCATAAAGACAGCCCATGCAAATGCAGTGCAACCTCCCCCTCCATAACTCAACTGCACCCCCCACTGCCACCACCCCCTTCCATTTCTTCTTCCCATTTTGGCGTGTGTTGCACAAAATGCCTCACTTGGATGCGTCGCTATTTTCATCCACAAACAGATACAGCTCCACATAAAGATCTCGATCTCGATCCCGATCCAGATTCAGATCCAACCCCTGCATAGCTGGCAAGGCTAGAAGTCGCCGGCATTTGCTTACACTCAAT